TTTGAAAGAAGTAATATGAATTTATAACTACCAACAATACAAGAATCCCTGTTTCCTTACACCTTTGACCACAGTCTATCATGAATTTTATCAGACATATAATTAAATAGGTGATATTAACTTTTGTGGGTAATGTGTCAAGAACTGTGAAGAGACTAAGATTTTCCCCTGTTTGCACGATCACAATTAGCCTGCCATGGTTTCTTAGAAGCTGACAGAAGGCCCAAGATGCTTGGCTCAGAGACAAAGGACTTCATCCTTCATTAGGCAGCATGAACCTCATGTTTGCATTAGTCTACCTTGTTTCCCCCACCCCCAAATCATGCATCCCATGATGATGGCAGCCCAAGTACAACAGATGCGAAGCATGCAATTGAGTTTAGGAGACTCCAGTCTTTTAAAGAGACTGCTAACAAATCTGCCTGACCTTTGTTAAAAAAAAACAAAGAAAAGAAAAGAAAAAAAAAAAGAACATCTATGCTGATTCCTTGCTTGGAAGTTGAACATTTATCCCTCCCTGTTTCCTTTCTTGTCATCTTCCTCACATAATTCTATTACAATTTTGATTAAAAAATATTCAGTGTTTACATTTTACAATTGTGTACCTATCTTTTTCTCTATAGAATTTTGTTTTTATTGAAATTAACAAACATCTCTTTCTGCCCTTTTAAAAATTAAATTTTTAATATTTAAGTTTTTTTGTTCTTGTCTTTTATTAACCCAAATATAATTACTTGTCTTTTGGTTTGTTGTAGCAATAGGTCAGACAACATTTGCTACAATAATGTCTGTCAAAGTGGCTAGCTATAAAAATTCTAGCACCACTTCTCATCCGAATGCACTCCCGACAAATCCAACTGATTTTGCCATTATCTCCACTTTGTAGTATTTCAGAACAGCCAGCTTAACCTCCTTTTTCTTATACTTATTCTTCTTGGGAGTGGTGTAAGACTTCTTTCATATCTTAGCACCACCCTGAAGTCTCAGCACAAGATGAAGAGTGGATGCCTTTTGAATGTTGTAGTCAGATAAACTATGTCTATCTGCCAATTGCTTGTCAACTAAGATCAGTCTTTGTTGATCAGGAGGAATTCCTTCCTTATCCTGGATCTTGGCCTTTACATTTTTTATTGTATCTGAGAGTTCAACCTCAAGAATGATGGTCTTCCCTATAAGGATTTTCACAAAAATCTGCACCTTGGTGGGGATTCCAGTGCAGATGGCAGATTGGTAAAAGCCTGCTTAGTTTTTGTAGTTATAACACTAAAGGAGCCAAAAGCTTTTCCTCAGTTGTATTAGTATATCTATATGTAGATACTTAATCAAAATTTGTCTCCTTAAAGCAGAATTTCCTGGCATAGTCTGAAGGCTCCATGATGGACTTCTTGTATATAAATACTCTTGTATTAGTGGTCATTTTAGTATCTTACCTTCACCGTTATCCTTAAGGCATTCCTCATCTTGCTGTTGTTTTAGATGTTGTATTACTCAGACGTCATGTCTTCTTTCTCATGGTATATTGTCATGTTTTGTACAGCATGGATTCTAATAGTTTCTTGATCATGAATATACGAGAGGCATGTCTGAAATTTCTGTTTTCTAACCTCACACTTATTTCATAGTCTGAATCCTGAGTATAGAGTTCTGGATGTGAAATAATTTTCCTTTAGAATTTGATGGCATTGACCTCTTGTTTTCTTTCAGTATTGTTGTTAGTAAATATGATGCCTTTTAAAAAAATTCTTAATCCTTTGTATGAATCTATTTCTCTGAAAGTCTGTAGAATCTTTTTTTTAATACTTGTAATTCTGAAATTTTATGATGATTTGCCTTGCCATGGGTCTATTTATTGTCATTTGTGCTGAACACATGAGTCAGTCCTTTCAGTCTGGATGTCTGTAGCCTTCTATCCTGGAACATTTTATAAAATTAATTTTTTTAATTCTCCCATATTCACTGTATAAGCTTTCACATTGTGCCCACATTTTCAACAATGTGCTTTTGCCCTCAGGTAGGAATAGTGTATCCCAGTCAGAAGACCCTATGTTTTACTCTCTCCAGTGAACTCCAGTCTTTTACTATGGTGGAAGAGTATCAAGGTCAGGTTGTACAGTAATGGGAGATGATCTTAACAGCCCTAAAGCAGACTTTCAAGAATCCTGTGTTTTTAGCACCAACCTTGCCCTCACAGCCAGGCATTTGTGAGCCTATTGGCAGTTCTGTAGGGATTATCAAGTTGGTTCTGTGCTTCCCCCATAATTGGCTTTGGATTCAGATTTCTCAGGTTTAAGTAATGTGCCATTGTACATTTGTTCTGGAAACACATGTACCTTTTTAATGCATTATAAGATCTGGTAGTGGATCTTAGGAACATGATGAATACTGATGAACAAAAATAATATTTTATTGTACCTGCAACAGCAGTAATATTATATGAAATTGTCTTTGATTTCTGTTGTTTACCAAGTCCTATGTACTGCTAAATACTGTTTTTTTATTCCTTACATAAATAGGTGACAGAAAGGCTAAAGTTGATTTAGAGGAGAGTTATGAAACTAAAAAAAATGTACATTTTTTCCCTTATTCACTCTGAATTCTACCCATGGACCCAATTTAGAACTCCTGAATTAACTGAAATATTATGAGACCATAATCATGGTTTCCTATATTTGTCCGCATTTTTCAAAGTGGCTTCTATAGTGTGTAACCCTGATCAACCTTTCATTCAGTCAGCAAATATTTACTAAGTAACAACTGAGTAAGTGTATGACACTGGGCTGGCACCAGGGATATGTTAGTTAACAAAACAAACTTCTGTCTTCATGGAGTTTATTTATCTAATGGAATATATAATTGGTTATAGTGTAGCCTATGTTAAAATACATAGTTTATATATATCACCACCCTAGGAAAATGACTGAAATCACTTACTTTCTCATAATATCAGTACTTGAAACAGAATTTGAAAGGTTTTATTATAAAAGTAATTTTTTTAAAAAAATGTGAGATAGAAAAGAAAAAAAACCCACGAGCCATTAATGCACTAATTAGACTAACTACTGTTAACACCTTGTTACATATTTTAGTTTCTTTTCTATGTACATATACGTATGTTTAAATATGCACAATTTGTAAAACTTTATTATACTATACAAACTTGTGTAAAAATTATCATTTTTATTTGTGTTTACTTCAGTTTTAATCACAATATAATAATCTTATGAAAGCACCCTAATTTATAACTTTAGATTGTTTTCTACTCTTTTTAAAAAAATTTTGTTTTGGCCTGGCTGATGTGGTTCAATTGGTTGGAGTGTTGTCCCATAAACCCATAGGTCACAGGTTTGATTCACAGCCGGAGCACATACCATATTTTACTGTGTATATTGCTCACCCATATTTTTGGCCCAAACTTTCAGGGGAAAAAAAATCTTTCATTTCCATTTTTTTATTCAATTATTTATTTATTTGTATTTAGATACTTGTTTTTTATATTATAAAGGGTGGTATTTTACGTACAAATATCATTGCTTTTTAGAGTTACACTTTTAATACGCAAGTAAAATAATTAAAAACATTTATATAGGTATAGAATTAGTACCACCCATGTATAATGCACACCCTTATTTTTCCATCAAAAAGTTGGGCAAAAAGTACCAATTATACATGGCAAAATACGGTACCTACATTGTAGGTTTGGTCCTTGGTTGGGGCACCTGCTGGAGGTAAAAGATAGATGTTTCTCTCACAAGGATATCTCTCTCCCTTCCTCTTTCTGTGTGGAATAAATAAATATATATAAAAAAATTAAAAAATTCCTTCTGCTAATTTTTCTTAGCTAAATCTTACCAACACACCTTTCATTGATTATTCCAACAGTTTATTATGAAAAAAATTAAATATATGGAAAATTTGAATTTTACAGTAAACACATACTACTTAGATGATATAATTAACATTTTAGTATGCTTACTTTACAACGTAGCTATCCAGTTACACATTCCTCTTTAGTTAATTTTTTAGTAAATATTTAGAAGTGGAGTCATGCATTTTTTCACATACATTTTTAATAATTTTTTAAATTTATGGTTAGAAGCCCTCCAGGAAAATTTTTATTACTAATTTATACTCTTACCAGTGTTTATTACCATACTTTGAACCCTTGCCAACACCAGGTTTTAATTGCTTTTATGTAACTATTTGCTCATTTTTGATACATAGGTTGTTTCTAAAGTAAGTCTTTAATTTTAGCTGGAAGGTGACTCTTTTCATATGCAATGCTCATAAAACAGCATTCATTTATAATTTGCTTTGATAATCTAATCTCCATTATGGATTTCGAAAGGAAATACAATGTAATTTGTTCTTTGTTGATACTTAATGTTTTTAAATGGGAACATTGTGCTTGTTCATTAATTATTTAAGGTACAGTTGGGATTTCAATCAGAATGTTGCTTGTCCTTTTATATTTTTAGGTTATGTACTACAGTGTGTGAATAAGTACTTTTAGAATATTAGCTGTAGCATATTCAGACTTTTTTCTTTTTCACAGAGTAATTGTGCCAAAGGAGAGAAATGATTCACGGGGACATTCAGCAGTAGAACTAGAATTCCATGAATTATATTCTTTTACTCACTGGTCCTTTGTTTTATTTCATGGACCTTTGTTTTATGCCTTGGACTGATGCCCCACTCAGTGTAACACTATAACTGCTATAAAGACTTGAGAAATAAAGATGTGAGTTGAAGTCTTAAGCAATCTAGGCACTTAGGTGGGCATATAATGTGAGATAGTTGAAGCAAGGAGGTAGATTAGTAGGTGGAAAGGCTTATACAATACTGCTTTAAATGATAGATTGCTTGCATTTTATTTTAAAAGTAATTCATAAACAATTATACAATTTTGATATGGCTATTTTTAAAAATTATATGGAAATTTTACCAGAAATATGCTACCTTTGTTATTTTCTAAGCATTTAGCCAAATCTTTTTGTTCACAGCTGGGCTCAAAATGCAGAGAACTGAAAGATATTCATTTCGGCCAGTGTTACAAGATCTCAGATGAAGGCATGATCGTCATAGCTAAGGGCTGCCTGAAATTACAAAGAATATACATGCAAGAAAACAAATTAGTAAGTACTTCTTAAGTCCTTGTGTTTTTCATTTTGTTTCTAACTTTTAAATTTTACCATATATCTTTAAATTTTCTTTCGCTTATTTTTTTGGTGGTTTAGAGGCAAATCCTACTTAAAAGCAAGAACTCTCTCAAAACAATGATTTTACAAATTGATCCTCTAGGTGTATAAGTGCTTGTATGTGGCACTTGCACGACAATCAGCTAGCTCAGATGTATTGGAAAAAAATAAATTTTAGTTGTAAAACATGAGTATGTGGTTGTAGTTCTTTCTGATTCCCCTAGAGATTATAATAATACTAAGTAGTTGGAATTTTTTAATATTCAGGAAGATGTACACTTGTGAAACAGAGCCTTTCTCTAAATATGGTGAAAAATGGTGATTCCATAAATTGAGGAAGACAATCTTGGTAGCTACATAGGTTTTATATTCTAAGCACAAACATGTGTTACTTATTCACACTTAATGTTTTATATGTGATATATTTAAAATCATTTAATTTTGTTTTATTGAGATATAATTCACATGTCATACCTTCACTCTTTTAAAGTGTAAATTCAGTGATTTTAGTATATTCACAAAATTGTACAATCATCTCCACTAATTCTAGAATATGCTCATTACCATGAAAACAAACTCTGTGCTCATTAGCCATCATTCTCTATTTACCCTTCCTTCAGCCCCTGGCAATTGGTGATCTATTTTCTATGTCTATGGCTTTGCCTGTTCTAGACATTTCATGTAAGTGGAATTATATAATATATGGTTTTCTGTGTCTGGCTTCTTTCACTTAAAACAATGTTTTCATGGTTCATCCCTGTTGTAGCATGTGTCAGAGCTTCATTTCTTTTTTAGGGCTGAATAATATTCAAAATTCATTTAATTTTGATTTGATAGATACATAGTACAAGTTAACGGAAGTTGTCACTAGGGAGGTACTAATAGAGTTTTCAATGCTGAAGAAAGGTGCACTTAAAAACAGACAAGGTTGCTGTGGCCAGTGTGGTTCAGTTGGTTGGAGTGCAGTCCCATAAACTGAAGAGTCAGGGGTTTGATTTCTGGTTAGGGCACATGCCTAGGTTGCAGGTTTGGTCCCTGGTTGGAGGGTGTACAAAAGGCAACTGATTAATGTTTCTCTCTTTCATTGATCTATCTCTTCCACTAGCTCTAAAATCAATGAACAGGTCCTTGGGTGAGGATTAAAAAAAAATTAAAATTGTCAAGGTTTGTCTTGAATATTTAGCATATTTACAAAGACTTTTTTTAAAGATTATTTATTTATGTATTTCTAGAGAGGGGAAGGGAGAGGGAAGGAGAGGGAGAGAGAGAGATTAATGCATGAGAGAAACATTGATCTGTTGCCTCTTGCGCATGTCCCAACCAGGGACTGGATCCGCAACCCAGGCATGTGCCCTGACTGGGAATCGAACCACATACCTTTCACTTTACTGTGCAATAGTTAACTAACTGAGCTGTGCCGATTAGGGCCAAAGAAGACTTACTTTTTAATTGTATCCCCAAAATAAAGAGATCTTTTTGTTGCCTCCATAGAGTTAGTTTATTAAATTTGATAAATACATATGATATTAATTTAAGTCTTGAAAGGTTTCCAGAACCATCAGCAATTCAAGTGAGATAGTGCTATTTAAAAACTATTCCAGTTAGAAAAATTGAAACAATCTGAATTAAAAGTAAATGCTTTTATTACCACATAGAATTATTTTTGTGTCTGAAATTATTTAGTAAAAATGTTTCACTTTTCTCTTTACTGCATTTTGCAAAAAGTTATTAACCACTCCTGAAGCCATATGATCTTGTAGAGGGAATAAAATCTTCTTGGTTAGGAGACTGAATTTTGAATCCTGGTATCCACTTACTTGCTTTGTGACTCTGGGAAAGTTACTTAAGCCCTCTGAGCCCCATTTGCAGATGAGGTTAATACTTGTCTTGTGTTTTGTGGCTTTGATGATTAAATGACATAATGTCCTTAAATTGTCTAGTACAAACTCTTACTCATAAAAGATTACTAAAAGCCCTGGCTGGGTTGCTGAGTTGGTTGGAGTACCGACCCATACACCCAAAGGTTGCGGGTTCTTTTCTTTGTCAGGGCATATGCCTGGGTTGCAGGTTTGATATTCTCTCTCTCAGTCTCTCCCTTTTCTCCCCCTCTCTCTCTGCGATCAATAAACCATATTCTCAGGTGACAATTTAAAATAAACTACTAAAAATGAGTAGTTTTCATGAGATTATGACTGTATTTGTTATTTGTTGATTTCCACTACCCTCAAGATGAAGGATGGTAAACTGAACTTAATTTTTTTTTGTATTTACCACATAATGGGAATATTTGTTGAGTAAACACAAAGCAACATCTTTTTTTGACACATTAACAATTTTAGCTGGTGGCTCTGACTGGTGTGGCTCAGTGGGCTTCATTCTGCTGACTGAAGGGTCACAGGTACAATTTCCCATCAGGGCACATGCCTGGGTTGTAGGCTGGGTCCCCGGTTGGGTATGAGAGAGAGGCAACCAATGGATGTTTCTCTTCCTCTCTTTCTTCCCTTCTCTGAGAATAAATAAATACAATCTGTAAAAAAATTTAGTCAGTGGTTTCTGAAAGGGATTCAATGTATATACATTTTTAACTATATATTGTTTTGAAGGTTCTAGTTATGTTCACATTAGCTTAATCTTAATATCGTGGTCCATTAAAAAAGTTGTTATATATTTAAATACCAAGGGAAGCAGTTTTGTATATAGGGCTATTTAGTAAATATTTGATTTCATTGGAAATTTAAAGTAATTTTGCCAGATACTAAAGAAAGTTCAGTTTAATAAAGTTTTTTTTTTCAACTTAAGGTTCTCAGAAAAGAATATTTAGAATACTTTGAACTCTGTATTTTGGACAATTGCGTTACTGCTAACTAACCTCCTATAGGAACTTTGCTTTGTAATCTTGGAATTTATGAAATAAGGAAAACTATTTTAATTGCTTGAAAAACTATAATTTTAAGTAGTTGGGTTGTCTTAATTCTGAAAAGTGTTGTTATTAGTCATTTAACAATGAATATTTTAAATAGTCTAAGTAGAAATAATTGTGGTCTGGTTAAAGGCAAATATCTATGCAGCTATTTATATTTTATATGTAATTACAAACAGGAAATATAGACATCATCAAATAGGAAAAATATTTTACATTAACAACTAATAGAAATATTTGGGAGACTACTGTATCTGAAAGGATGCCAACAGTATTTGACCTCTACAGATATTAATCATTAGCCAAATTATTTTGCTGATTCTCTTATTAAAGTGAATTTTCTCAAAAGAGTTTTAGAGCTTCATTGTGTAGTATGTGTAGCATCTTTGCTATGTAGCATCATAGCATAGTGTTTTTATTTAAATATAAACTTTGATAACTTTAAAATATCAAATTGCTTGCTTTCATACATTGGCAGTATTTGACTGAGTACACTTCTTTTCATGTTACATCTTGGCCTTTAGGTGGCAGCATTGTCTTTGTATATTTCAGTGATAGCTTTTTGTGTCCTTGATATAACTAAAAAGATAACAAAGTGCGTGTACACAGCTTTTGCAGATATTATGGTTTATTTAAAACTTTTATTCTTTAGGTGAATTTAATGGTAAAATTTCTTTAAAAAGTTTTTATTTATTTTTAGAGGGGAAGGGAGGGAGAAAGAGAAGGAGAGAAACATCAGTGTGTGAGAGAAACATCCTCTGGTTGCTTCTTGCCTGCCCCTAACTGGGGACCTGGCCCGCAACCCAGGCATGTGCCCTGGCCTTTCAGTTTGTGGGATGACCACCAGCCCACTGAGCCACACCAGCCAGGGAAATGGAAAAATTTTTTATTAAAATAATTTTAAGTATTAGTTGCAGCTAGAATGTTAAAAGATGAACTTGCTGTTTTATACAAAGCAAGATATTCAAACATCCTTATTTGTGGCACTAATTTAAGTAAGATAAAATTTAGAATAGGGGAAGGATCTCTGTGTTTACCAGAAGAAAAATTTTTATTCACATGGAAATTGAGGACAGTGATTTGACATTTTAAGACTCAAATGGATTATGCTGAGGCAAAAAATTAGGATTTACATCTCAAATCTTTAAGAAAATCTTTCCATAAGAGAATGAATGTCTGTTTTAGTCATTTTTGAGTTAGACAGATGCCATGCACCTACATGGATATAGTTTACATTCATCATAAAACTTTTGTATAGAGTCTAGAAAGAGATGTGAAGAATACAACTATAGTGAGGGTCTAGTGTATTGTATACACTGTTTTCCTGCTCCTAATGATAGCTTTCACATCACTGCTGTGCAATATTTGCTCCAAAGTTATTTTAAAGCATATTTAGTTTGTATGTATAGTTACTGATGATCTAGGAATCTCATTAAGTATATTCTGCCTGCTTCTTTACTTTATTTGTTTTATATTCTGTTTCTCTACTTTCTGGACAGAGGAACTCTCTGGACAGCTTTTTATTCAGTTGTAAAATGATGGGGGCCGGATAGGTTATGTATCATTTGTTATCCAATCTGATGTTTTAAAGTACTGTACTAGGATTTTATGAATTCTTATGAAAATAGCTTCCATGCTGAGTCCTGTAGTCATCATATTTGATACTAGATCTGTATGTGTTGTATGTATTTGTTTTTTTAAAATACCTTCTTTTTTGTAGAGTTGAGTTGTGAACTAGTATAGACTTTCTGAATTATCAAGGAAGTAATAATGTATTATGAATAGACTTTAGACTGTTTTAAGGAAATTATTAATGTTTCCTGATTAAAACTTGATTTCCTGAAAGTTAATTGTGACCTTTTATTTCAACCTCCTGGTGAATTGTTATTTTACTAGTGTTATAATTCTATGACATCTCCTGGAGTCCTTGCTGCTGCTATAACATTATTTGTAACATTGTTTTTTATTGTTTTAATTTTATTACCTCTTGGAGGCTTACACAGATAAGGTAGGATCT